GTGTTTCTTTTTAATATGCCTATGTAAAGAATGTATGTAGAAGATCATGGTAATTAAAATAGCAACACAGCATTCATGAGTTTGTGTATCCAACTTTCGTATCTCAAAGTGCATTATAAAATGTAGTAAATTACTCTAACAACTATAGTTGTTTTATGTAAAAAATAAGTTAACCATTTAATGAAGTGAACTACTATATTGTGTGCTAATAAGCGTTGTTTAAATGTCGCCAAGGCGCCTTTTTACCGGGAAAATAATTTTTTGTTACACTAAGTGTTTTTTATGTCTTCAAAAATTTTAAGCTTCGGCAAGGAAAAATGTTCACGCCAGAGATATGTAAACACTTTACAGTACCACAAAGTAAATTACAAATTTTAAGAAACAATTTAAAATAAAAGCATACAAAGGCGAGCTTATCCCATAAAGGGATTTCTTCCAAATAACCTTTACTGACTAATTCCTAAGTTACATACATTTGCAAGAAGGTCCACAACTCTTAGTAAACGTGTTAGGTTTCCAACTCGAAATGGATCTGGTAGTGGTCTAAGCCTACCTATGACAGGTGTCTAGGTCCAAAAGCCGTGTCATGACGTCAGGGGTCTCCCGACTCTGGCCGATTAGAAGAAGGACTCCCATGATGCAGCGGATCTGATGCCAGAGGAACGCATTGCCTTCTATAGTAAGGGTGTACATTGATGTTGCTGAAAAAGAAGATTGTGACGTGGTGACTCCCTTAAGGCCTGAGGAGAATCGGGAAAAACTGTTTTGCTAATCAAATGATTTAGGTATTTACTATTACATAACGGTCTTACAAAAACTTACGACACAGTTAAGGACATTGTTTAAAGAATGTGCTGATTTGTTATACTATAGGATATACTCATGGAGTATATAACCAGATATATAGACGAAAAGTCATTTAATTTGTTTAAAAACTATTCTGCCATATCATTACTATTACAACTGCGTTCCGATTGGCCAGCCCGAATTCGAAACAATTGACGGGTGTCGTCAATTGTTTCACTTCAAGTCGACCAGTTAATTTGAACTTTGCTATAATGGAAATTGCAATTTAATATTTAATTACCGATGAAATTTGATTCCGTTTGTTTCGTAATTAGATGTTTTGCTATTTTTCCCCACACCACCGAATGGAACAGCGCGCCATTGTTAGAGAGTTTATTGTTTATTACAATAAATACAGAATATTTTTTGAATATCCGGAGACATACACACAGGTGAGTTGTTGGCGCTGTACTATTTCAGTAGATGGATGGATGTACTCATCGAGTATATAACCAAAAATAGAGACGAAATAAGGGCCGTATACTCCTGGTAACACATTAGCGGTACAGCTCTTATAAATATCAACTCTCGTTTGCACTGAAATATAGACAGACCAACAACTGTATGTGTGTGTGTACATCTCCGTATATTCCAAAAAAATGCTGTATTTATTGTAGTAAAGATAATATCTCTAACAATGCCGGGCTGTTCTATTCGATGGTGTGAGAAAAACAGCAAAACATCTAATTACAAAACAAACGGAATCACATTTCATCGGTAATTAAATATTAAATATGTAATTTTGCAATTTTCGTCCATTATAGCAAAGCTCAAATTAACTGGTCGATTTGAAGTGAAACAGTTGACGACACCCGTCAATTGTTTCGAATTCGGGCTGGCCAATCGGAGCGCGGTTGTCACAGTAATGATATGGCAGAATAGTTTTCAAACAAATTAAATGACATTTCGTCTCTATTTCTGGTTATATACTCGTTGGCCGTACTTTACCCGATCATATAAATTCCCGAAAACAGGCTACAATAAAAGTCTAAAACGAATAGTTAAGAATAAAATATATAACTTTGCACATATTCTTTATATCACGATATTTCTAAACTGCTAAATTTTTGTTTTCAACTGAAGCCCTATAGTTATTAAATTTATATTTATCCCAAAACTTGAAAGTTGCCCAGCGGTTTAACGACACGCCGCGTCGCCCGCTGCCCCATCAGTCGCTATCGGGCGCTTGTCAACGTTGGATCTGTGTCAAATTTTCTCTACCTGTTCTTGCTCGCGTTCAAACACCTCGCCTTAAAGTTTTATTCAACGCACACACTCATAGCCCCGCTCTAAGGAAATCCACAAATTACATCCTAACTCACAAGATAAATTAATGTATGCCATACAAATATTTCTCCCGGCCTGGTAACCGAATCCGGCCTCTGCGTGGCAGTCGAGCATGGTAACCTTTCGGCCAATTTAAAAGTTCTGAACTAAACTGCAACTATTATGTCGTGACGACAGATAGTAGAGCAGTATAAAGTATCGTGGCTTGTATATTTAAATCAAGTTGTTCACACATACAACAACACGATAAACTGTTGTTCCCGATTTTTTTGATGTTATGACATATATACGCAGTTTCAAACGATTTCGTCGTGAAAACAACAATGCAGCTGCCGTCATCTGATAAATTGTCACGATCTAGTGGGAACAACTAGCCACGACAGTCGTTCAACGATAAAGTCAGCGTCCACAACACAGTCACGACAGATAGTCGTCATATGGGAACAGGCTAGATGCGACAGTCGACCAATGATAAATAAAAAGTTACGACATAATGAGAACGCGCCCTTATGGGTAGGCGTGTTCGTCCCGTCACTTTATAGTCATAAATAAAAATTACGATATTTCTATTAATCAATGAATCAAGAAAATAGGATACGTCAGCTGACTTACCTTTATCAAAATCCTGATCCACGGGTACAATATCAGCGGAAAAAATAGTTCTCACAAACTCGGTCACCCCACCGCCGACGTCCATCTTGCAAAGATGGCGGAAGTCGTGAGAGCCAATCAGATGCGAACACGCTAGCCGCATGGCGGGAATATCGAGATTTGACCGCGGGAAATAGTATTTGTATTTGCGTTTCTTACAGTCGAATCTGAAAAGGTATTTTTTTAAATTTTAATAGCGTATACACCGGCAAGCCTTTTGTAATGCTACCGATATTAATAAAATTTTTGTTTTGTTGTGAAAGCTTTTCGTGTTTGATTGTGTTTTGTTACTCAAGCTTTGAATGATAATATTGATAATAATATTTCTACAAATAACCCTACCCGGGGCTTAGAGCTCTTGCACATAAACACGATACGATGACGCGTCGTGCTACGACGCACGGCATGACGTCGTATCGTAGAAACTCACGGTGCCCTCCCCAGTGCTGCATTTATTTGTTATTCAATATTCAAAGATGACAGACGACATTAAGGTTGATTATTTAATAACCCTAGTCGAGGAGCGTCCTTTACTATGGGACAAAACATCAAAAGAATACAAAGTCATGTCTTTGGGTGACGAGCGCAGAGGCCGTGCCCATCCGATCTTTGCGGTTTAAATTCTCTAATTGGCAATACAACTCTTATGAACAGGCGTGTCGCTTATGAACAGATGTGTCGCTTATGAACAGCCGTGACTTATTCGTCCTGTCACTTGATATTAGAAAAAAGAGTCACAGTATATTCATGAACTTGATCTACTGGACGTTGGGTCCGCACTCAAAAGTATCTGAACCAAAAGTGATGGAAATCGCAAAAAGAGGACCGTGGTAATCAAAAAATTCAAATACATGTTGAACATTTTTATTTTTATGGTGTCAGCGTATTAGACACTAACGTCACAGTACATTTATAAAAATATTACTTATTATGAAAGGATTAATTTTTTTATGAAATACAGTGACAGACAACATTAATACGAGAAATAAAAATAAACCAGCTGTTCTTGACAGTCGTCTTCATAAAGTCTCAAGTTCATTTAAGGGGCAATATACGCTTTTATAATAATACTCCGATTAATATTCAAAATTTACTATTTACAAGGTTTAAAACTATTGTGAAACAAAAACTCTATACTAAAGGTTATTATACAACTTCTGCGTACTTGGATGACAAAAATCCGTATATTTACAAAGAGAAACCCTTAGAGGCTTAGTTTTTTGCTCATTCTTCTCAGGGGATTCTGAATTACGAATGAGCAGTAGAGTTTAATCAGTATGACGATTCAAGAGTAATTTGCTTACCTATGAAATAAAGATTATTTCACTTTGACTTTGGACTTTGACTTGGACAGTAGAATGTATATAAGTTGATACAATACCTAGCACTATACTCTGGGTAGTCTTTGGGTGTGGGCATCCAGGCAACGGCTCTTATTTCCTTTGGTAATAGCCGGTTTAAAATTTTGCAGTATGAAATCTCTGTGGATATGCTGTCCGGGTCATATTGGTTGTCAGGTGGGTGTTTACTTCGAAGTGTTAGGGAGATTACCTGTGAATAGAATAGAAAAACAGTGACAATACAAAATATAGTTAAAAGTACAATCGCCTTATCGCCAGACAGCGATCTCTTGCAGGCAACCTTAATAATTATTACGGAGGGTGAGCATAGTGAATACATTAAAATTAAACGATAGGTTCATAGACGCACTAAAAGTATATTTCTAACAAACTCATAGAACACTGTATTCACAAGGAGCACCAACCGGAAACCCGTAACCTAATCTGTCATTCCTCTTTTTTCTTTTTTTAATCCCACCAATAACATTTAGTGTTGCCATTTTGTTCTTTAATCGATTATAGCAGTCAAACCGGTAACTTAATTTATTTAAATGTGATATAATTGAATTTGAATAATTGACTAATAATAATAACATAATAATAATAACACACAAACTCAACATAGCCCCGCACTAGGGAAATACTGTGTCGCGGGTGCTATGGACACACCACATAGACAACCACAAATTACACCCAAACTTACGAGATAAATAAATGTAGGCCATATAAATATTTCTCCCGACCCGGGAATCGAACCTGGGACCTCTGCGTGGCAGTCCGGCATGATAATCGTTCGGCCACTGAGGCAGTCAAAATAATATCTATGTATAATAATAATAACTATAACTATATATAAACTAATAATGCTTTCGTTAACAGGAGTCACGGGCGAAGGGGAGTTAATGGTGCACAAAGCACATTCACAGGAAGCGTTATCTTTGTATTAATAATTATAACAAACTAGTTATAATTATTAATACAAAGATCGAACAATCAGAAAAAATCCTTTGATCCGGCCGGATTCGAACCGACGTCTTCTAGCACACCGTGCCAGACGCTATACCAACTAAGCAACGGAACGAACCAGCGGACTTCACGGATTTTTCTATATGCTTGCGTCGTATCTTTGTACTTGCTTTTTCAACGACTTTTTAGCGCCATCTATAAAAAATCTATGATGCTTCGTCACCCAGTTAGATACCTTTACAGCTACCAGTCCCGGCAAGACATGTCGCTATTCATTGTATTTAAATTTTTATTGAATTGATATTCAATTATTTTTATGTGAAATTACTCCACTAGCATGTTATAATTATTAATACAAAGATCGAACACTCAGAAAAAACTCCTTCGATCCGGCCGGATTCGAACCGACGTCTTCTAGCATACCGTGCCAGACGCCATACCAACTAGTTTGTTTGTCTGTTTTATCAACTGAGAGACTATACTGTCATAGCGCTACTGTATTCTTTAGATTATTAGTTAAAGCTTCAAGTCTCCCTTTCCCCAGTGTTCCTCTTACCTCTCCTCTAAGGATTTTTGTTATGTTGTTCGATCTTTGTATCAATGACAAATTATTGTAGCAGAGTATTTAAAAAAAAAATCATATTGCAATGAAAATTCTAACCTGTCCAAAAGCACTAACGCCCTTATCAGTACGTCCACATCGATGGTACTGCGAATTCTCTCTGCTCTGTATGAGACAGCTCTTACTCAAGGCAAGAAATAAATGATGTTCAATTGTTTGCAACGTGTCTTCTTGAACAGCAAGGCCCTTGTAGTCCCAACCGAAGTACAGGATGCGAAGGAGTACACGTCGATAATGGCATCTGCAAAAAGAACCATCAGACAGGTAAACACTACGATTATCGACCTGCTCATTTTTTTTTTTGCCAACATGCAATTGGTCTAATTTGAAACCATAAACAGTTATTATTATTAGGGTGGCTTCATTCAAGGCCTATGTATCCTCTCATCACTGCGACCATTGACTTATTATAGTCAGAGCCAAGGCCGCCAGCATTGAAGGATTTTCCTGGTTGCGACAGATTTAATGTCCTCGGTTGTGGCATGTGCTTTCCCAGTATGGAACTTACGTACGCCCAGCAGGAGGTAGCATTGGTGAAGTAGATGAACAGGAGTTACATCCGCCTTGTGTCAGAATCTACATTCTCTATTCTCTGTCAGCCTAATATTTAACATGTTCATTCAAGCCACAAGGGCCTGTTAAGGCTCTAGTGAGCATTATTATGCCATTCCTGTCCAATGACAAAGCTTCTCTACAGTGTTTAGCACTGTAGGCAGATATCTGGGCTTCTCAAGACCCTTGCTGCCTGCAAGACCATAAACAGTTAATTATTTCTATATTTTGGCGTGTCAATCATACTATTCCAACATTGGCTTGCATTTAAGTGTGAAACAAATGCCAATGCCATGGTAATGTTGCAGTAAACATAATCAGTAGAGACAACATAAAATTAATTTTCTTCTACTATTAAGCCGTAGTAGCTTATTGGTTTGACATACCATCTCTTAAGCAGAGGTTGTCGATTCAAATCCGGGCTCGCAAATCGGTGTTTCTCGGAATTTATGTGCGAATGAAATTCGCATTCGAGTTTACCACAAGCTATGCCATGAAGGAAAACACTGGGACGAACCCTGCATTTCGAAGGTTTTACAGCCTTCGGAAAACGTGAAGGCCCCAACCGGGATGGGGCAGCGAAGCGCGCTATGGCATTAACCCTCACCTGAGAGGAAACCCATGCCCAGCAGTGAGACGTATAAGCCAGTAGATGGTGATGATTATACTATTTCTGTTTTATACAATTTTAAAATTTCTATAATGTCTAACATTTCAACTTGAATTCAAATCGTGAAAAAAATTTACACAAAGTGGAGATGACCTAAGTGGAGATGGGAAAAACTGCCTATTTTTTTATGTTAAAACATTGTGGTTTTCTATTTTAATCGCTTTTCACATAAACGCTTTTTACGTGGAAGCTCTTACAAAATCGTTTAGAAAAACATTGTACGCGCATAGACTTTTATGTTTAAAACATCTTGCAATGTTGTGTCGATAGCGGAAAGCAAGAGTAGATCACTGAAGGTTTTAAATAAGTTTATTTTTTACAAATACGAGTTGTATTTTTATTTATAAAATTATTACTTACATTGCCTGAATTGAATTAATTTGTTTAGGAAACATAGATGGCGAGACTTGAAACATAAACACAATGTAAAAAATCAAATTGTTGAGCATTGAACCAACCAACACTTTTGCTTAATTTTTTTTTTTTTTGATGAATTGAAAAGTGTGCTTATGTGCTTATTTTAAAAAGCAATCTTTTTAAGTGCTTTTCGCTTAAACGTCTACCTCCAGACCTAAAGCAGTCAGACAGCTAGTAGCATGCTCGGTACCTAGAGCGCAACGCCTAAGGCTCTACTCACACTGACGTAGAGACAAAGCGTCGCAATGAGTCATGTTTTTCACCTATAGCATATTCATCTCTATTTTCCCAATATTAAGGTACAAATTTGTGCTATGCAAATATGGAGTTGAGCCTAAAACTGCTTACTTTTCAAAAGTATCCTCATACATATGTATTAGAGATTACTCTGTGAAGTATGAATGAGATATTTAAATAGTTCTTTTTTGGAATTAAAATTAAATATTCATCAATTTCCAGCTCCGTGATGTCTGTGGCTCATGGAAAGAATACGTTCTTTAATTGGCCTGTTATTTTTACAACTTTTCAATTAACAAAAAAATGTAATAGATTCTTACTTGCTAAAATCGAAGGGTTTTTTGCGTCCATTTTTTTCACTTTCAGTGTCATCTGAGAGATTTTTGCTGATAATATTCTTTAACTGAGCATTATGAGCTTCTAATTGTAGAATTTTTTCCACTAATTCCTGCAATATTTACAGAATAAAAGTTAAAAAAACATGTCCAGAGGTTATGATTCTATTTAGTGAAAAATCGCGAATATTATACATTTTTATCCATCAGCATTAAATCCTCACGCGTCGCCCCTTTTAATTTCTTCGGTTTAGGTGGCACTTTCTCCATTTTTTTTATTTGAATTAAATTTAAAATGACAAAGTTTCTCAGGCAGCAAGAACGTTTTAGAACATTTATTTACAGTACGTAGTAGCTGTCACTGTCACTGTCAGTCAGTGTTACCAAACTAAAGGACGAGATTTCGGTATTATAGTATCCTTTCTCCCCTAAAACCTCCTCTACTATTTACTCTATTTAAATATATTGAACAAAATAACATACGGCTATAACTTTTACTACGTGCACAGCATGTGTTTACGCTTTTCATCCAAAGTAGCTAGTCAAATAACCCCGTGTTTTGTCTTTGTCCATAGGATGGTGCAACCGATCATCGTCGTTTGAGGGAATCTTGATAAATATACCATGTATCTTTCAACCCGGACACTGGCAGAATTATCCTCAGTGGGACAGAAGCCAAATACCCAAAAAAAAAATTGATTTCGATAAAAACATTGTCAAAGAAGTTGTTCCTTTAGTGGTATATGCCTGCAAGACCTGCAATTTCCAGAAAATCGTTAGGGATTTTTAATACTATGGAAAGAAAAACGGAATGCAATCCCACGAAACGGAACGGATTTTTATGTACTACTTGGTACTTGGTGTAACGGGCTGGTGTCCGTAATTCGACGTCAAGGCGCCTGTTTTGCGTGTGGTGGGTGCAGGGTCCTACTCGTGCCACCCAAGCTCCTCCAGGAATCTCAGCAGCCTTATTATTTTTATGTAATTTTATGACTAATGGGCCAGTGGCCAATGCCATAAAAAATGTTGACACATCAGATGTCAAAGTCATTCTTGTTGCAATCTAATTAGCTCTTAGACTATTCTTTTATTTTTTTCCATCCTCTAAGAATTAGCTAATTAGAAATAAGATTTTGAATATTGTGGCGTTTAAGTGTTGCTGTTTTTTTGAATTTTCTTAGTATCGCAGTGTTGTTGGAATTAATTTAATATATCTACGATGCTTTTGTTTTAAATAAACAAATAAAAAAATGCAGGTCACAATATTTTTTTTTATTATTTTTAGCGACCGGAAGTCAGTCGTCATTACGCCCGTAAGTCTGCAGATAACTCATTTTGTGTCGTCGTGTGAAACAAACCGTACTTTTATATGAAACCGAATGCAGCACAAACTACGCAACTCAAACTACGCTCGTCTGGCCTCACACTGAGGCTCGTATTCTAGAACTCTACTCAATGCTCAAGTCAGGATTGCAATTGAAACACAAGCACTGGAAATACGACCCTAATGGCAGGGAGTTGAGTATGATTTCGAGTGCTTTAAACCATACTCATATCCTGACTTGAGCATTGAGTAGATTTCTAGAATACGACCTTAAGAGTCGTATTCTAGAATTCTACTCAATGCTCAAGTTAGGATTGCGCTGGAAACACAAGCACTGGAAATACGACCCTAACGGCAGGGACTTGAGTATGATTTTGAGTGCTTTAAACCATACTCAAATCCTGACTTGAGCATTGAGTAGAGTTCTAGAATACGACCCTAAGTGTCTGCCTATGTAATAGATTGGTAGTGAATTAAAAAAAAACTCAACTATTTTAACTATTCTTTTATTTGTTCTTTGTTAAGTTCAAAATGGTGGAATTGAGAAGAAAAAACATTATTTGATTTGATTTTATCAAAACCATTGCAACTCGTCCGAAATGTCGTGGTAAATAACATAAATTTTCATACATAATTACGTCCCGATTTTTAAATGAAATAATGTTTGAAAATTGTGTAAATTTAAATCAATATTTATTGAGAAAACATTATTTGAAAATTCAAAAAAATACTGAACGGAAAAAAATATCTCGTTTATAAGCGGACTAAATATTATGCATAAATAAAAACAATTCGCAATAAGATCTCAATTCCACTACTTTTGTTTGAGTAACGATTTTTATTTAAGCGACCAACTCTATTTCCCGTAAAATCGGGAGGTTCGAACAACTGTAATCATTGTTATGTTTTTCTACTTAACAATAGATGGCACTTTTAGACATTCATTTTGGCTTTGGTTGTAACTGTTTTCTTAAATGTCGCAATTTAATATTCTTGGATTTGGCAGAACTAGGAAGTAGTTCAAAGTTCAACTAATTTATTGGAGTTTCGCCTATAGCCATAAAGACTTAGGATTTTCATTGCAAATGACACTAACAGTCGCGACGACTGCGTGAATATGAGCTTATTATTGAAATATGTTTTCAACTTTCTTATAACATACCTAGTGACGGGATGAACAAGTCGTGAGCCTGGTGTTAAGCGACACGCCTGTCCATAGTAGCAAAGCTTTATAATAATAATAATAATTTTTTTTATTTGTGAAAACACAGGTTAGATATGCAAGTTGACATGTACAACATGAGTAGGTATAGTTTCACTGTGTCCGGCCAAACATTTGGCATACAAACATATTGAAAGTATATTTGGTATATGAATATTATAATACAAACATAATTACCGGTATTGACAATATAAAAATGGAGAAAAAAATAATTATACTATTACATATGTTTATAATATCGTTAGTATTCAAGAATGTCAGATTAATTATTAATGTCCAAAATAGTGAATATAATAAAAACAAATTAATTCATTCCAACAATGAAATTACAAAAGTCAAGCGGCTTTGTCAGGTGAAAAAGATTAAGTTATAGTGTCATTTAAGAATTCGTTGATGTCATAGTAACATTTATCTATTAATAAATTGCCCAACACATTTTGGAACTTATGCGTTTCAAGTGATTTTATACGATCAGGAATTTTATTGTATATGACCGGTGCGAGTTGAACAACACTCTTTCTAAGAAGAGCTGTTTTGCAGATCTTTGTGCTTAATAAATGTGGTCTAGGACGTAAATAACGATTTTGTACCGTCGGTCTAACTGAGAAGAAATTTGAGTTCATTTTGACAAATCTAGCGATTTCAAGAATGTATCGCAAGGATCTGAGGGGCGCTGCCACTGCGCCCGTCACCCTGAGACATAAGTTGACTAGTGCCATGTGTCTGTAATTTCACCAGCACTCTCACCTTTCAAAACCGGTATGCGGTAATGCTCTTATTACTGCTTGGCGGCAGAAATAGGAATGGTGGCAACACTTCCTTGGACGAACTCTTTCACAGAGCTCTACTGCTAGTATATTTGATATGTTTGAAAAAAGGCAGATCTGATTTAGGAAGGTTATTGTTATACGATGCGATGCGTGAGCCTATTAGGTTCTTTGATTTATTTGATATTATTTCTTGTTATTATTAGTGAATTTTTTGTTACGATTGGCCTAGGGCGGCCTTAGGGCAAATCCGCCACTGAAAACGGGAAGTTGAATTGTCATGCTTTATAAAAATTTACGTATTTTTTATTTTACTTCATTAAAAGTCTGCTGCTTGTAAGCTATAGCCATTGACTTACAATTATATGGTCGTCGGGTCCGCGCTAAAAAGTGTCCGAACTTATAGGGCGTTAAAATCGTATACAGAGCGTCATTCACGCTTTAGTCTTCGTTTGTTCGACTGACAGCGAAGCAAGCAAAATTAGACAGTACTGCGATGACATTACAATTTAAATTCAACGTTTTAGCTTTTTCATATTCCTTTACATGTCACTATGTTTAAATAGGTTGACATTTTATATATATGCTATAGCACAAAATTTAATGTAAGAGCTCATTCTTCATTTTTTTAAGGCAGAATCAATGATAAGCTCTAAGCCCCAGTGCCCCATACTATGGTCAAGCCGGAATGAGTATGGGGCATGGATCAACTTTGGGATGTGACAATGACCGTGAAGTCCGAATCTTTCGCGATTATGTATCGTACCACTACATAAATTGTCAAAATTCCCCATTGAAAATGATACCGTACCTAATGTACGTCTAGTCTATACCACAGTGTATAATTTCCATTTTATTTATTTATTTCATACAAACAAAGTATACATAATACAATTTCTCACCAAACTGCGAAAGCGGTTTGTTGGCGAGGTTATACTCACAATCACAAAACTATAGTATACCTAGTTCGAGTACATTTAACAAAACTAGTGTAGAATTTGTTAAATTTACATGCTTTCAAGAAGCATAAACAAATTGTAATTTTTTTCTTCATTAAGAATTTACTTAACAATTCTCTGCCTCTCAAAAATAGAAATTTATTAAATACGATCCGATAATACTTAGGGATGCGCAATATAATTTGTTTTTCATGAATATCAATTCAATACGATCTAGCAATTATTTTAATCGATTCATTTTGATGCGATTCGATTTCTAAATTATGGCGAATCGAATCGTCTAGGTTGTATTCGTAATTTAAATAAGTCTCATCCTATTAATGATTTCGTTAAGTACAGAAACGGATAATCTCAGTACAGAGTACTAAAAAAAATCCCCTCCCCTTGTTTGCCACCCTTATAGGTGGAATATCGCTATTATAATCCTGTGATGGTGGCAATCACAAACACCTCGCATACATAGAGACACACTATCGAATCAAAAGTATCGATACCTCAAGGTACTTTTGTCCTGCAAATTTTGCCTACTTAAAGGCAGAATAAAACACATGAATTTGTCTTTTTTACTGATTTATGATTTTTAATTTAAACAAATTGTAAAAGAATTTGATTAATTCAACCAATCGTCATTTCACATAACTTGTGTTACTTAAATTTACAATTTCCCACTCCTCTGTGCAATCAACAAAAATCTATTTGGTGACGGTCTGTTTCTCGTTTTTGACACTGTATTGCCTGCTTTTGAGAACAAACTTTTTGAGACTAACTTGTTTCAAGGAAGCAAATGGCATACAATTATACAGCCAAGTAATTCGTGTTACATGCTGTTATTAAAAAAAAATCGCTAGGTGGCTTGCGTTATGATATAAGGTATCCTAAGTAGGAATTATTGGAAACGATACGATACTTGTCAAAAAGTACTATTACCTGAAAAGTATCGGTACCGGAAGGAAAATTACTCGATGCCAAAAAGTATTGAGTAATTTTTCGCGTCCCTAAGCCAATTTTAAGTTGCACCAACATTACAGACAATGAATTCTAAATTTGTGTGTGTAAAGTGAGATTTTTGAATATACTCAGTGGTTGTACGAAGCAAATTTGCTTTAATACATTGGTTCTATCGTAAAATAAAGGTTCCGCTACTCATCAATAGATGGCACAAAGAGCGCGTATTTTTTTTAATTAAAATGATAATTAATTCCTATATAATGTAAACCCTCCGTAATGATTAACTATTACTTAGTAATTATAGTGCACAGGGTTTAATTTCAATCACTCTTATTATAAATAAGTACATACCTCCCAAAGTAGTAGGTACGATAAAAGACAGCAGGTTTTTGAAAATTTTCATTGAAAGTTTTGAATAGAATGGCCTTTAAACCATTTTGTGTCCGTAATTGTCAACTTAATTGTTACGGCATTGTAAAAGTACATCACCGTTTTAGTTTAGTGGCAGAAAACCGGCCGCAAGCGAATGGTCACTATAAAACTACAAGCTTACTTTTGCAGACGGTTAACAGTAGAACGTGCAGAAATTTGAATAGAATTGTACTAGTAGCGCCTCAAGTTACTGCAAGTGTAAGTTTGTCGGTTTTATAGTACTAATATCAGTCCTGTATTACTTGAACAGTAGAAGGCCGCTTAGCGCGGTTAGCGGTCTTTCTCTTACCGCTTTAACAAACTAAAACGCTATGTCTTTAAATAAAATAAATATAGTTAGAAACCGTTGGCAGAATACAACTATGTCGACAGCACTAACAAAACATTTTCTTTAACTTTTTTCGCGCTAATTCGAAATTATAATGCGACAAAATTAAAAAGATACACAAAAAACGTTCCTCGATACGGAACATGTGCACTTGTCAAAAAAATAGGGTTATATAAGTTTGACGTTTCGTAAATATTTTTGTGAAACATTTTCGTATAAACTTTTCTTGTGTGTGGAATTGTATGAATAAGTGATAAAACGCAGTGACTGTTGAAAATAAATGATGTAGTTCTTTTTTGTGCGTTGCGTGTGCCTAAATTCGTGCATTCAGTGTACAAAATATGGTAATGTAATCCTTGTTATTTCAATTTATTTACACGAAAGAGGTTAATTTTTTGTTTCCAACTTGTGTTGAGATTACTTTTGACCTAACTATTTATTAATGAAACTAGATTAAAAAATACATATCCATAGCTAAAAAATCAAAGTCAGTAAGAAACACTGTTGTTTTTTGAATTTCAAATAATTAATAAAACAACTTTCTAACTTAGTTCTCTTCCGGAAAAAAAATTATAAGATAAATTGAGATATAATCTAATCATATTATGTAAAATTTTACTAAAATGTATCCTGCCATTTTGACGTGATTCAACAACAAAGTTACTGGTTTATTAAATAAGTCGGCATGTCCATGGATGGCAGTGGGACATGTATTTTTTTATAATATCAAGTGACGGGACGAGCAAGTAGTGCGTCTGATACTAAGCTACACGCCTGTCCATAACAATTTGACAGTAATTCTTTCGGATGTGTGTACATGTGACATTGTAATCCTACTTAAGGTGATACATCACTATAAAGTAACAAGAAGAAAGATGTACTGTTCATAATTTGTTAATAAATTATTTAATTATATAATTAATATATTTATTTACTGAATACAAAAGTGACATATGTTTGGGTGAATACCCAAGTCAGTGCTAGGCGAGTTTACTTCTCCTTTAAATATTCTGGATCTTGAGTCAAAAACATCCAAACTAGAGTTTGTTTTAGGTATACCTGTAATCGTGTCATCACTCCTCTGTATGATAACCTCCCTCCTAAAATTCCCCGTCCCATTAATGTCAACTTCCTCCTAACATTAGTCCAGTCTCCCTTTGTGCATGTGCTGTGTAAATTTATTAAACTAATAACAATTTAATTAAATTTTTATTGAATTGATATTCAATTATTTTTTGTGAAATTACTCCACATCATAACTGGGTGATAAATCTGTCATAGATTTCTCATAGATATTTGAGATAGAGATTTCTCATAGATTGGTCTTTCAACGACTAAAAAGTCGTTGAAAGACCAAGTACAAAGACACGATGCAAGCACGTAGAAGAATTTGTGAGGTCCGTTGGTTCGTTCTGTGGCTTAGTTGGTATAGTGTCTGGCACGGTATGCAAGAAGACGTCGGTTCGAAACCGACCGGATCGAAGGAATTTTTTCTGAGTGTTTTTTCTGAGTGTTCGATCTTTGTATTAATAATAATAAAAACAATTTGTTTCTGTAATAGTCTGTGTAGGTTCTCTATTGTTGTAGATTCTCCTCTCAGTGAATTGAGTCTAAATTCACTGGTCAATTTAGTGTGCGTTCCTCAACTTGATGTTGGGGAAATCATTGATTACTTCAATGGGGCCATAACATTTAAAAGAAGAAGAAGATAGATATGTCTGACTCAATCCTTATTGACTTACTTGTTTGGTTATTGTTATTGTTAGTGTGGTTGTACAATATAAATAAATAAATATTTGATAATGACTAATGTCATGCTTTAATATATTTTTCTTGTTGTTGCAGATTTTATGGGCATAAACGCAAGAATACATCAATAAGGTTTTACTAAAATGTAATTAATAACTGTACCAATGGCCAGTATTTTAAACTTCATAAATTTAAGAAAAAGTATTACTTAACATGCCAGTTTATGATAGTACACACATGTTTAAACGTCGTTTGCTTTAAATGGAACATATGTGGATACCTGAAATTACTGTAAGTATACAGTAACTTATAAAACATGTTTTCATCCTGGGAAGTATCTCACAATGCTCAACGAATTCTTGGTATAATGGGGTCTACTCTTGTCTGACATCCATCCAAAACAATTACTGTCTAATAAGTAATATTCGACAAAATCGAAAGACAGTCAAGTATGAAGCGTCATTCGCATAATGCATTATATATATCGCATATTGCAGTATTACTTATTTCACAGTAATTGTTTTGGAAGAATGTTGGACGTAGAACGACAGTACAGGGCCAGCACCGGATGAACTAGTGTGCATTGTGAATGCTTGAGATTCTGTGAAATGATGGTTGCCAGGGAACCAAGTGTATAATTACAATGCATTTGTCCTTTCTTTTTTATAAGTAGCTTAGTTGTTACAGTGCATTTGTTCTTAACTGTAATACTGTAAATATATTTACAAGAAATAAAAGTAAAACAACTGCCACTTAGCCTATTTCTGCATTCCGGTTGTGAAGGGTGCTGGTGAAATTACTGGGACTTGATGATTGATGTTGCTTACCACCGGACACACAACTTGATCGTCCCTTTGCTTGGTGTCATAAAAAAATCAAGTGTTTTGTACGGCGTGATATAAATACAGGGTGCCGTTTTTACATTTGGTTGGCTTGATTCCCAGATGAGTCAAACAACTTTTAAAAATCTTTGAATGTAGTACTAAAAAAAAGTACTAAAAAACCGACCTCAAAAGTTCGGGGAATTACATCTATTTGCCAAGTTTTATACTATTATTGAAATCGGTTACCGAAAAGTGTGCGATACCGGATTCATCGCCTAGGTTGCCACCCTTACGGGTGGAATATTTTCTTCAAATTTAAATGAGACCACTACCGAGGTACCCTCTCTCCAGCAAAAAACGAATCATACACAAAAAATAACATATACCAAAAAAAATAAAAAACCTACAGTCGAATTTAGAACCTCCTTCTTTTTTGAAGTCGGTTGAAAATGAATTAATTTCTCTATATGACGCAAGATAGGATTATCTACAAACTGTCCTCTTTGTCATAACTAATCCATTTGTATTTCGGTAACTGTACTCAATGCTCAATTCAGTACTTGAGCAGACTTGAGTATGATTTCAAGCACTGGAAATACGACCCTAATGGCAAGGACTTGAGTATGATTTACAGTGCTCACTGCAATACTCAAGTCCTGACTTGAGCATTGAGTAGAGTTCTAGAATACGATCCTATAAGTTTCATTGTCACCTAAAAAAATGTCGATTGCGCTGATTTTGCTTAAGGCACCGAAGATTACTAGATGAGATTGTTTGGGTATTTACTATTAAATAACGATCTTGCAAAAATATACGATATATCGTCTAAAGAATGTGCTAATTCGTTACACGGTAGGATGTTACTTCACCCGATCGTATAAAATCCTGAAGACAGGCAATTTTTTTTATAATACTATGTGACGGGACGAACAAGTCGTACGCCTGGTAGAAAGCGTCACGCCTGTGCCTAACAGTTGCAGTGCCACTCAGAGCTTTAGATCACAAAGATCTGAGATGCACTGCCACTGCGCCACCCTGACTCTGACACCCTGAGACATAAGTTGATAAGTCCCATGTGCTTGTAAATTCACCAGCACCCTTGCCCTACGAAACCCGGACGCAGTAATGTTTGCACTGCTAGGCGGCAGAAATAGGTACGGTGACGATACTTCCTTGGACGAACTCTTCCTAATGTTTAAAACTAGTTATTTAAGAATAAAATATCTATCTTTACACAATTAATATAGATATTTCTCTTTAAGTACTACCAAGAACCTGCTAAATTTTGGTTTTCAACTTAACCCCTATTGTTATTAAATTCACATTTATTCCAAACTTTTAACTGCCTCCGTAGCCGAACGGATACCATGCCGGACTGCCACGCAGAGGTCCCAGGTTCGATTCCCGGGGCCGGGAGAAATAGTTGTATGGCCTACAATTATTTCTCTCGTGAGTTTGGGTGTAATTTGTGGTTGTCTATGTGTGTGTCCATGGCACGCGCGACACAGGGTTTCCCTAGTGCGGGGCTACGTTGAGTGTGTGCGTTATTTATTTAAACTTTTCAAAATTGTCCAGCGGTTTAACGACACGCCGTGTCGCGCGTTGCCCTCGTCAGTCGCCATCGTGCGCTTGTCTGTTAATAACAATAATAATAAATAAATAACAATCGCTTCCAGTACAAATGCAGAAGGCGGTTTTGCTCTATATGGCACGTATTGTTCGCCGGTTCTTGAACCTGAGTTCCTGACCCCAACCGACTGTGCCATTGCCGGGGAATATCGCCTCTCCCATCTAAAAATTCAAAATAATCTTTTAGACCTTGGGAGAGGTGAGAGTCATATAAATAAGAATAATAATAATCACACACTCCACATAGCCCCGCACAAGGGAAACCCTGTGTCGCGGGTGCTATAAACACACATAGACAACCACAAATTACACCCAAACTAGAGAGAAATAAATGTAGGCCATACAAATATTTCACCCAGTCCGGGAATCGAACCTGGAACCTCTGCGTGGCAGTCTGGCATGGTAACCGTTCGGCCACACAGGCAGTTAACGCAAAGAACCTAAGTAGAAAAGAACGTTTTCTACATTAATCCTTTCTAAAGTAGAACCTAAGAGAGCGTTAGATGAGAAGGTTGTGTCGTTTTATAATCGAGAGATTAATTTCAGAAACATGAATTGAACGGCGTTATTTATTTAAACTTAATCAATGAAATTAATTGTCTACTTAACCAAAGTAACTTGAGCTATCAACCTATGTACTTTGTAAATAATAATAATAATAAATAACGTACACACTCATAGCTCCGCACAAAGAAAACCCTTGTATGTCGGGTGTCATGGACACACACATACACTGCCGGGGATCGAACCCGGGGGTGTGCAAGCCACCCGATCACGGAGGTCATCTACATGCAGTAGACATTCGGAGGTCATCTACATGCAGTATTCGTTCGGCCACGGAGGCAGTTAATATGAAAAGTACTTTCATTCCGTGTCGCATGGCCGTAGGGCACCCTGTGTATTGTATTAATTTGGTATATTTTTTTCAGACGATGAGAGCTGACGCAGTGATGATCTAAGAAAAGGCACTTAATGGTTTACATGGTGAGTTGATTTTTCAGAAACAAACATTTAAGTACGTGTCATTTCGATCAATTTGGACAGTTTTTATCGTAAGCGGCATAGAGTTGAATTTAAATCTTAGGTGTCTATACAACCTCAAACGGCTGGTTGATTCCACAGAACAGTGAAAGTGACAATCAATCACTGTGGAAAAATATATATTAAAATTGAAGATATATTCTGGTGTAAAAACACAATTACTAAAAATTACTAAAAATTATCACGGTAGAAAAAAAACACAAACTTACCTCGAAATTTTACAAGAAAACCGTTGCTTCTTCAATACTTTACGTATACCCATTGACTTACTTATATGGACGTCGGGTCCGCGCTAAAAAGTGTCCGAACTTATAGGGCGTTAAAATCGTATACACAGCGTCATTCACGCTTTAGTCTTCGTTTGTTCGACTGACAGCGAAGCAAGCAAAATTAGACAGTACTGCGATGACATTACAATTTAAATTCAACGTTTTAGCTTTTTCATATTCCTTTACATGTCACTACGTTTAAATAAGTTGACTTGGGACATTTTTTTCGTGGTTTTTGTATTAGACCCGTCGTCCATTTATTTGTAAGTCAATGCGTATACCAATGATTTTTTTTATATCAATTGAACTATATAAAATACGTATAGTATACGATATACATTTTTCAAATGCCGTTAATTTCTGAAATAAGGCCAGTGACCCTGCCGCTAACCAAAGCAGAATGAACCGTATTATTACGGGAAAAATCCGAATTCGAACTGGGGTAATATTGAGTCTTAAGTGTCAAGCTTGATGTTACTCTTGACCCTGTATAATAAAAAGTTTTTTTAATATGCACACACTGGCAATTTTAGCGTCACACTAATACGTTACATTTATACGACCTCTGTGGTGGAGTGGCTTGCACACCTATTTTCATGATGTCGCCATCTCTGAGGTCCTGGTTTCTATATTGTCTCGGGTCTAGGTGTTTGTGGTACTGTCGTTGTTTCCGATTTCCATAAACAAGTGCTTCAGTTACTTACTTTGGGAACCGATTTCGATAAAAAAAAAATTTTGAATGTAAACTGTTTATTTCGAAAAATTAGTAACTTCCAACCACAGCTACATCAAAATCTAGTATATTTAGGTACTTACACAGTTCTTATATAATATTACTCCCTAGCCAAATGTCGTCTAATCAATCTGATACCGATCCTTTTATTTGTTGATTCTAATATTTGTGCTAACTTCTTTGGTACCCTGTTTAACACATCTGGAAGTACAAATGACCACATTCTCCTACCATATACATTGTTATAATTTGGAAGTTTAAATGTACGATTGCTATGCAATATTCTTAGTCTTAATAGTCTTTTTTCCTTCTCCAAAAGTGGAACTTTTTCTTGGTACTCAAGATACAATTGCTAAATTTACTTTATCATAAACATTTAAAACTTTACAGTATTGGAATAGTTTAGCATAATTATCTTTATATATGCATTTCACTTTCAAGGGTACAATTTTCTTTAGCAGTTTTATTTGTAAGTAATATGTTTTTTTTAATAAGTTTTATACGTTCTGCAATAACTAGCTAGACAATAGCTTATTACCGATGATTCTGTTTTTGTTGAAAAGAGGGTAGTTCAGGGTTACCTATCAGTTGTCCAAAAATAACGTTTGGTTAAAATTTCATAACCTCGAAAGTAATTTTGAGAGGAAAATGTTTTTTCTTTTAAACCTAACTTAACCGAACCTAATCGTGACTTTGCGATAAACATTCAACATATCCTGAAAGAACAACTGTTTCGTCATAATTCGGTTTTCGGTGTAATGAAAATTCGAGCAAACGTTATATCGGCCAAAAAAATTTGCGACTTTGTGATTGGTTACCGGTACTTCAGTGGTTCCATTCAAATTTGAGAAAATATTCCACCTCTTAAGGGAGTTAAATTAGGGGATGAATTTGGTTTAATGGATTTTCACCTTAAATGATTTCAATAAAACTTGGCAAAAAGGCGTAATCCCAAAAAATTTTGAGGTCGGTTCTTTTTATTATCAAAAAATTTACAAAAACTATTACTGATAATTACAACATGGAGGCGCAACAAAAACCTAAGTAGGATTATCTGTACAACGCAATTATTTACAAAAGCTTTGCCGGTGTGTAGGTACGCTATTAACAAACAAAGTACATTTAACTACTATAACCGAGTTCGAAAAAAAGGAGGGTTGCTAGGAAGGAATATTTTTTTTTCGATTTCAGTTCGATGTTTGTATTAATAATTATAACAAACTAGTTTAGTAATTTCACAAAAATAATTGAATGGTATGGTGGTCAGACTTTCAATAATTTATAAATTACAATTATTGAACCGACAACTCCAGCACCTGCTGGGTGAAGAAATAGATTTTTCACAGATGGCGCTACGGCAAAAAATTTTCGTTGAAAGCCAAAAACTAAGATCTGCAACAAGTACATAGAAAAATTCGAAAGGTCTGCTGGTTCGTTCTGTGGCTTAGTTAGCATATCGTCTGGCACGGCTAGCTGGAAGACGTTTTGGTTCGAATCCAGCCGGATTGAAAGACTTTTTTCTAAGTGTTCGATCTTTGTATTAATAATTATAACAAGCTAGTGGAGTAATTTCATAAAAATAATTAAATATCATGAAAATTACAATTATTAAATTAAAAATATTAATACAAATCGGACATCTCTAGCATTGCTGACTGAACCATTTTTTCAAAATCTGTGAATGCCAATCAAAACATCTTCAAAATTCATGGTTAGTCTTCTAGAACCGTTTTCCTGTAACTACAATGATTAAGGTAGCTGGCCTTGCTGCCCCGTCTCAAATTCACATCCTGTATATGGTTATAATTATTATTTTTTGTATTAATGTTATGTCTGTCACTATTCTTCCTAACATAAATTACATTTTCTTAAATAAACCAGTGTAAAAATTTTAAATTCTTTAAAATTCTCCCTCAGACACTCTCAGGCACCCAGTTTCTAAATAGCCTTATATTCCGTCCATCCCTCCGTACATGCCTCCGAAGTTCCGTAATTATTGACATATAACCATGGACACAAAAATGCGCTACTTCCTGGACTCTTTTATTTATTAATTTTAGTGAAGCGACGTGCTCTTTAGCTCCGATATATATAGAGCAAACAGATTATGTAACGAAGTTTATTCAAGTTGATAAATTTTGGTACCTGTCTAATAAGTTATAATGAAATGAAATAAATTATAAATAATTATAATAAATTTTTGTTATTTATTGAACGGGATGAACGGTAATCATCATTTGAGTGCTCATTATCATTAGTCAAAGTCAAAGTCAAAGATTATTTATTCCATAGGTAAAATAA